CCCCCGAATCCTTAAGCTGATAACCATCCCTGCCGCAATAACCCGGCCCTGACAGCCTCCTCACCCTGCAGTACAGGCTGCTGAATGCTGGTCCTACCAGGAGCAGGCAGGCGGAGGCGACAGAGGAGGGCGCAGAGCAATTAGGGTATAAACTGATTTTTTTTTTACAATTTTTAGCGTGCAAAGCAACGTGGAGCGTAATCTTTTAGCATTATTACTGCCTTTTTCGATCTTCGTGTTGAATGCTGTAGCTGGATCACCTACAACCTGACTTTGGGGTTTTTTTTTTTGCCTTTGCAAGCATCGGTGCTATAAAGACACCAAAATCCCAGCCAAATAGGGGACTGCTCCTCTTGCCCAGTTTAAGATTAAACAAGAAACATTAGTGATCTTTGCAAATTCTTGTGGCAGTAAGTTTTTGACAGTTCACATGTAATAACTGCTAAATAAGTTTTAAAAGCAGAGTGTGAAAACAGTGCTTATACACCCACGTCTGCTCTGGCTCAGATTTTGCATGAATAAAGTTCACAGTTTGGTCTGGGCTCCATGCACCCTGGACATGAAGGCCCAGGCTAAGCAGGAGCGTATCAACATTTCAGACCATTTCCGTTCAGTTTCCTGCCTAAAGCAGACAGTCAGCCTGGAGAGTGTGTTAAATACACGGCAATCCTACAACATCCTACACAGCCTTCCATCTAACGAACTGCATGCTCACCCAGCAACTATTTCAGTCTGATGACCCATTACCCTGCAACCTGGTCTGTCAGCCATGATTAGTATGCAGTCGGAAATCATGATTACTTCTGCAGTAGAAAACTATAATAAATTAAAAGTGGGAGTTAGGGGATTAAGTGTTCCTTCTTGCCTTTCTAAACCAAGCAGCTGTTAAGAGTTGGTTAAGTTCTTTGCCCTTTTTTTTTTTATTATCACTTACAGGAAAGCTAAGCTGCGTCAGACAGCACAAGCTTTCAGCCATAAGTTTACTCCCAAATGTTTGTTCCTACTGCATAACTGGCAAAAGAAAAAAGAAATAAACGGAGTTTATTAGTAGCAAATTTTTCTGATTTTATAGATTTGAAAATTCAGCACTGTGCTTTTCAGGTATTCTTTAGTGTAACTTTACCTTGGGGCTATTGTAAATTGTTCACAGAAGATTTAAAAAAAAAATCAGTGATTACAAAAGATCAAAATCCAGACATGACCGAGCAGCAGTCATTTCAGAAATACTGGAAGTTCAAGAAACATGTTTTCAGTGTGTTCTCAGTACATTTTACTCAGGCACATGCTAGCACTTCAAGACCGGCTGAATCATGCAGTTATTCTGCATACTACTACTAAAAGGGGAGCAATATGGAGCCATCAGTTGCCTTTCATTAACAATCAGAGGAGGAGAATCATAGGTGCCTGGCACACCTCCTCCACAGACCTTGGTGTCTGCAGAGCTGTTCCCTCTCACATACTTCTCACTTCTCTTTTCTGGTTGATGTTGTGCAGCAGTTTTTCCCCCCTTCTTAAGTACATTATCCCAGAGGTGCTGCCACCATTGCTGATGGGCTTGGCCTTGGCCAGCGGGAGGTCTGTCTTGAGCCAGCTGGCATTGGCTCTGTCGGACACAGGAAAAGCTTCTGGCAGCTTCTCACAGAAGCCACGCCTGCAGGCCCCTCATTACCAAAACTTTGCCTCGCAAACCCAATACAGCCGCCTTCTTAAGGAGTCAGATGTAAGCAAGCAACTGTTCTGGATGTTGTTTGTGCAGCTGGATTAAGTCACTACTGTACACTCCAGCTGCAACTTAAGTTACAGAAAAAGAAGAGTCACAACATAGTATTAGTGCAGTCATTTAACAACCCATTACATTTAAGAAAGTTTGCACAAATGACTTTTCACCACCAGTAGTATCACAAACAAAATTTAATGCATACAAAACCTCCAAATATTTGTATTTCAACAAAGAAAGCTGCTACAGAATGGCATCTTGTTTTACAAGGGCAACTTCAGAATAGAGGCAAGTGCATTTCTGCCATGGTAGCATAAACAGCATGCAACACATGACATTAAACAGATACAATGTCCATGTTTGAAACACGTAATAAAATTAAGATACGTTAAACAATCACTTGAAACATAGGCCATGCTATAGAATGCCCTTTGCAAGTCACCTTAATCACCAAAAAACCCCCCAAGAATCCTCACTTTTTTTGAGTATTTATTGGTAAAAACTAGTATGAGTTTCCCCAGTACACTAAAGATCTATTGTTTGATATTTATTTTTACAATAGAATGCATATAAAGTATTATGGTAAAAAGTTCATAATCATGTTATAAACCATTGTCAAATGTTCATAAAAATCCTCTTTTGGCTGAAGCTCAAACTAGTTTAGGTATTTCTGAAGACGTAGCAAGTCACTAAGATTTCATTCCCCCTAATCGGTTTTGAAATGCATTCTTCTCTTGAAGATTTTGAATTGCACATCAAAATTTCATATTCATCGGAGGAAGCCTGTTTTACCTTGTGGCACAATTAGTATATTCTAAGAGTTCCTTTCTCTCAGGTTTTTCAGGCTTCAGGAAACAGTTCCCTTTAAAAATACATATCTTTATTTTGTGCAATGTTTTTACAAGAGATAGAGCAGAAGTGCACTAGAGAATTTTTTTTTCTAAAAAGGCATTTTGAAGGAAGTTTTTCTTATTGAGTATGTGTGGCCAAAGTCCTTGGAGACTGAGAACAACTGACTAGAAGTCATTTCCCTTACTAAAAAGAGTACACAATTCTGTAAAAATGGACTACAAAACCACAGTGCTAATAATGCCCAGTTTTTTAGACCTTTATGATAGACATAGTAATGTACATAAACAATTTGTGTGACATATTAAGCTTTTACGGGCAATTTTTTGTCTCTTCATAAAAAATAGATTGTAATATAAAATATTAAAAACAAGCTATATAACTTGTACCACATGGAGTTTTTTTATATATATATATGTGACATTTTAAAAGGATTATTATATGGTAATATATTAAAAGGTTTTCAAGTAAATTATGATTCAATTTCATAGACAAGAACATGTCTATAATATGTATTCCAGCAGTATCTATTCCCCATAATCTGAAATAGCAAAATAAAGCCTGTGTAAACTTACCGAAGTTTACTTCCATATTTTTCAATTTCAAGCCTATTAATTTTCTGTATTCAAGACTCCTGATGCCTTAAATGGGAACTAGATACTGGAGCCTATTCCAAAGGAATTTGAAGAAAACTGCAGTATTTCACTTTCACTGAGTCTGTGGGAATCTAATCACATTTTCAAGAATGACTAATCATTTGGGTTCTTGCTTTCAGACCCAACAGAATGTTTTGAAAAGCTTATGCCCTCATCCAACAGAATATAGAAGGGGAGATTGCTCTGTGGTACTCTGGAAGGTCACTCTCAAGTGCTTTTGGGAATAAATGTCAGAAAGAACTAACTTAAAAAAAATACTTAATACCCATCAGGATCAAAGATCAGTACATAAACATATTAGAGATTAAGATCTGTATGACCTCCACTGGATAAACAAAATACTTATAAACATTATATACAGAAGTTTACTCCACCCATATTTCTTAGGTGTTTATCATTAATCTCACTTACAGTTGAGAAGTTCTGAATGATTCCTACTTGAAGCATTGAATGCTTCTTCTGTAACTGCTATACTCCAAACAGCTTATAATACTGGCATTCCTTAATGTAACAGATGCTAAGTTCTGGTTCCAGTAACTGCAGGAGTACCAAAACTTGGCCTAGTATGAACCTGGTTTTGGTTACAAGAGCAGTCATGCTAATATTTTTTTTTTTTTTTTTGCTTCAGTCTTCTCAGAAACGTAATTGTTTTATTAGATGTCGCTCTACAAAAATACAATGTAAGCATAGTATATATCTACAATTGTTTTGTCATTTCATAATTGCATTGCTGTATGTAAAATATATTTAAGTTGAAAAATAACATTATGTTTTAATGGTGGCAAAACATAAGTGCTTTTGCCCGCTCTTTCCCACTACAAATCATAATAAATGCTTGCCTTGAAAACTAGTAATTCACTGGTTATTACAAGTGACACAATCCATTAAACAAATTTAGTCTATTAAAATATATATATGCCCTTGAAATTTATTTTTTTTGTCCCAGTGAATTTCAGAAGCTATCTACATAATTTAAAATATCTCTCATTAATAGTCACTGAGTGGGCTGTTCTTAGTGGGGAAGTCAGATCACTGTCTTGGAAGGTAAAAGAAGGGGTACAGAAATAGGTCATATTTGTTAATCGGTAGGTGTTTCTGTTTCTGCTTTCCCCATTGGTGCCTCAGGAAAAAGTAGTTTTCGAAGTATGTTTGCATAGAATGGTCCATACACTTGTTTGTTAAAGTTTACAATGCTTGCATACTGAGATCCAACAAATTCCATCTCTGACTGAATCACAGAAAGGCCTCCTGGCTTCTCATGAAAAACTGGATTCGTTTGTCTGAAATAGAATATAAAGCATGCTCAGAACAAATGCAAACTGAAGATGAAGCCATACTCACTTTGTAAGCACCCTGCACATCAGCACAGCAAAAAAAATCCAACAATGTAGGTAACAACTCTTTCTCAAGTCTGTGCTGCAATGGGAAATGATACCGAAAGCTTCTTGAAGTTGGCTCCTGCAAGGTGGACACAGCATAAAACTGCTCCAAGAAGTTACATTACCTAATATGAAGCATACTCAAACTAAAAATCCACTAAGTTTAAACCCAGAACTAACAGAAGGGAGACTGAACAGCACTCATTTTTTTTTTAATTCTCCTCCAAAAATAGTAGCATCTCTAGGCTTGTTTGTACAGAAACTTAAAATTATTCCTAGCTGCAACTAACCATGCTCTGCAGCATACCAAACCCACCATTTATAGGTAAACAGTATTTCCTTACTCTTAGTTGACCCAATATTTTACTGCAGTAAAAAAGTGCTTTTAAAAAATAATTAGACAGCTGATAAGCTTGCTGGGAATAAGTTTATATACAGACACATACGATAAGAAAATTATGTATTATCTTACTAACCAATCAAGGAACTGACAGGATTATTCTCCTCAAAAATATGAGCAATTTGACCCATTAAATTGCTCTGCATTTCTTCAGTAAGAGTGGGAAGACCTCTTTCAGCTAGAGACCTGTTCACTTTGCTGCAAGTCTGGACACCAATAGCATTCAAAGCCTCCTCTAAATTAAAAGTTCTGGAAAAAAGAAATAGAAAAACATTAACTTCTTCAGTTTCTGTAGCATAGGTTGTAAGGTGACCTCACTTGTCTCCGTTCCTTTTTTTCCCCCCCAACCTGCTCTCTGCAATGAAGAGAATTTAGAAAAGTTATCTTTTGCAGACTTATGTACACCTACAGATACAGGACAAATCTCCACGTGGAAGACCAAGGACCTAATTGTGATTCAAATGGGAAAAATAATTTGAAGTGTGCAGCAGTGATACCGGTTCCTTTTGCTTAGGTATCCTCCTGGGCCACATGTATAGTATTTAACGAGAAAAAGCAGAGCAGAAAACTATTTTATGAGATGCTCTTGTAGATCACATCAGACTTGCTTGCAGTGCAAGTGGCAGCAGAAATAGGTAGCCAAATAGCTTAAGCTACCTATAAGTTTGAAGCAACTGGCAAGACAATTTAGTGAGTATATTGCCACAGTCACTCCAGTATTAGGAGTGTATGAATGAACTTTAGTACTAGGCTCCAAATTCTGTAGACCAATGTCATGATTAAGATTTCATTAAAATATAACTTTGAAAACATGTGCCTAACATACAGTGGACTTACATTGTAAGGGGACTACAGATACAGATAACTAAAATTTGCTATCTTCCTATTATAAAAATGCACTGTCTATTCACATTTGAATTGTTTCCAAGGGTTTTTGGATCCACCTGGTATTTCCTGATTAAAAAAAAAAAAAAAATGAAGAGTGATAAAAACAAGGCCTTACTTCTTGTTCATGCCTTCAAGAAGAGGAACAGAGATCCTTTTCAGCTGGTCAGCAAAATCAGGCACATCTACAATTGGTGCACCCACCGTATTGTTTGTTATGAGACAAACACAAGCTATGATTTTTAATTGATTGAGCTTTTCTCTCAACTCCTGAAGACGAACTTCATCTGTTATTAGAGTCTAGGATTGAAACAATAATACTAATTTAGGAATACAGAGGGAGAGAGGCAGGGAAAAGGACAGATATAGGATGTAGTCATGAAGCATTAATATTTTTAATCACAAATACACAAAGAGAGAAGAGACAGCATCCGAAGTGCCCTGAACATGTAGTATTGCACAAAGTGGCATTACGTATGAGTACCAGAAGTAAGCCTGTGGTGGGAAGAAACGTTAATTCCTTGAGTGCACAGGAAAATGAGAACTTTGCATCTTATTTCTCATCACTGCTGATAGCAGTGTGTGACCAGCTATTCAGGCCATGATGTGGAATGCTCAGGGGATCCAGAGGACACTGTAGCGATCAAGGTTACAGACAGAATAGTCTTCTGGATTCAGCGGTACTTTGAAAAATGATATAATCTGTAATTGATGGACAGTGATGAGCAACTGTGCATGACAACCACCAGTTCAACACCAGAGTGGGTTCTGCAAGTGATACATCACCCGCTACAGGCAAAAAGCCAGTTGCTTATACCAAGAATGTAAGTAAACCCCACAACAAGATATAGCTGAAGTAACTTATTTTAGGTTAGAAAGAGTTCATCCTAACCAAATCCCTCCACTGAGAAGCACAGGGGCATTAACATTCGACTGTTTGGTAGTAATTTCATAGTACGACAAACTAGATCCATCGGAGTATACCTGTGTGCAGCTCTTGTTCAAAATTGTTCAAAGGAAGGCAAGAATAAGGTGGTTTCCCCTCCATCCACTGACAGAGAACACTAAGAGCATCCCCATGTATTTAGCAAATTCTCTGCCAGGCCACCGTAAGTATAGCTAAGACACTCACTGCAAATGCTAATTTTAGCCCTGGCTGACAGCCAATTTCAAATTGGCTTTATAGGAAGTTGCAGAGGTCAGTAATCAGGAGTTAGAAGGAAAAACTGAACACTGATTCTGGAAGCAACAGTTTATATGCACTGAGAAAGAGTGAATATATACTTTAGAGGGCTTCAAGTTTTCAACGAATCTATCCTAAAGGAAGTGATCCCACCAATTCCTGCAGCTGTTAGAAAAACAGGATGCTATAGTCACTTCTCTCAAAGATACAGAAAGCCAACTGCTGTCAGTACACAGCCCAGCCTTTGACCACAGCCAAGACTGCTCTTAGGGTGGAGCTGGTGAGCTGTGATTGGATAGGGGGAAAAACAATCTTTACCTTGTTCTTTTCTTGTTGTCAACTTGCTCATCTTGTATTTCAGAAACTAGACTAGCATGTACTCTCCAAATTCCAAATTTGCTATTCAGAAATTTAAGAAGCGCAAGAGACTACTTCACCTATTGTCATCGATAGCAGGATTAATATACTACACCGATGTTTTCATACAGCTAGAAATCTGAAGACACTGAAATACACTTCTTACCTCTGGAATTGTTTTGTGATAATCCCATTGTAAGAGTTTCAAGTAGCCATTATTTAGCACCAGTGTAGGACTAATAATTGGTTTAGAACTACTATCAGCACCAGGGGATGAAGATTCATCAGAAACAGATGACAATTCATCTTCTATTGATTCCTTTATCCATTCTGTTGTGAGATCCAGGGCACCTAAGCATTGCAAATCAGCACAGATTTACTGCATGCTTTTGTCAAAATAAGCACTAGCTTTTAAGAGAAGTGTTATACATGTAAACAAGAGTATTGAACTTCTTAAGACTAAACAAATATAGTGGACAGCTGAGTCTTCACACACTTTTTTCCACTGATCATCTTCCATTGATCACCTTAATATTCTAGCTAGCTCGTACAAACCTAACAACAGATTGTTAGACTTCAGCCAACATTTTTGGTTAAAAGAAAACAAGCCTCCAAGTCAGAGTTCCCAAAGCATTTCTTCCCTTTTTCAGGGAGGCCACTTAATAGTTGGGGCATAGGACTGGAAAGCAGAGGTAAAGGGAGATAAACTGTATTAACAGCAAATGAATTGCTTTTAAAGAGTTCTTACACAGGCTGCATATATAAACACGGCAGGCTGTATCAGTGGCTCACAGTTCCAATTTTAGAAGCCCCTGCTCTGGATAGAAGTTTACTTTTCTTCCTGGAAAATGTATTTTCCTGAAGACTGTTTAGCCACATTACACAAAACCTGCAATAGTGGATCAAGTTGACTCTGCATCACCTAAGAAGTTTTCCTTAGAGCCTGGCTTTTGTTTATTAAAAATTTGATCCTGTCCATTCCAACTTTAATTTTATATCATGTCTTTAAATGCCCACTTTTTAAAGTAAGGTTTAAATTAGATATAGCATGATACCTACTTGGTGTTTCTTCAAGAATTTCCTGGAATTTTGTTCTTTCATAGTCCACCAAATGACGCTGAAGGTATGGCCTAAGGTTTTGAATTGTGTAATTAGCCATATCCACTTTCATCAGGTCCAAAACACGGAATATTTGTCTGAAAGGAGGAGTTTAAAATTAGACAATTACAATAGTCTATTGATTTTAACCAGCACATATGAGGTACACTTACATTAGCACTTCAATTTCAATTTGAGAGAAGTAAACTCCTTCATTGGTATTTCAGTGTAATAGGTATGTCACCTATCTTCCAGGATACTTTATTGTGTATAAGGCTTGGTGTAAGTTACTGAGAAAGGACAAATATGTAGCATCACTAAATGCTACAACCCTGTAACAGGAAGAGAAGGGTTTTCAAGAACTGTATCAATTGATACATTTCAGCCTAAATGAACAGATTTTAACTTTTCAGTCATTCTAATTGCATCAAGAGAAACAGTCCTGACCCAGCTGCTTTGGTCCCTGCATATGATCTAAGTTACAATAGAACAGTAGATCAACAACTACCATTTACTCTCAATATTTCAGTATACCTAAGGAGCAGTAAACTCGTTTCTGCTTTTTAATGCAAGTGTTTTACTCAAGTTCAAGTAATAAGATCTTTAGTAAAGAGATTTTAAATCCAAAGTTTGGCCTCCTAGAGGAGGCATGTAATAAACAGTTCAAGAAGGAACAGTACAAATGTGCTGCTTAAATTTTGTAGGGATGAACAAGACTGAAAAAGCAGTCTCTGAAACACAAATTACTGCAAGAATGCTTTATTTGTTGTTCATTGGATTAGATATTCAGAGCTGGTAGCATTTGATTTAGGCATTCTACTCATTTCAATAAAAAGTAAGATACATATAATATTCTGGTCACAGTGTGTCATAGCTCCTTCCCTTCAATGCTTCTGTATAAAAATAAATTTTCCTATGGTTTGAAAACAGGTGTTACATAAACTGACACAATTTAAGACTTCTTTTTAAGGCTTTACCCTGTCCCCTTTTTTCACTGCCCAGTACTTTTTCAGAGAAGAGGAGTTTCCTCTAAAAAAACCACCCAAATACCAACCTTAGTAATTCTACGATATTGTCAGTTGCTTTTAACTGTTTTATATCGTTGTCTCTTATTGGAGCACATAATTTTCCCATAGTGTTGATGATATAGTTAGCTAGCCCATGAATATCAACAGCATTATGTTCTGCCTGCTGTCTTATAAGATCTGTATCAAGGACTTCACAAATTTGATTTTGAATCCTGTTTGCTCCAGGAGTCAGGAAGGAAAGAAGAATCTACAGCAGGGGGAAAACAAAAAACAAAACCAAAATCAGACACACTTACCAATAAAAACCAAACCACTTAGTAAACACACCAGAGTAAGATTTTAATGAGTCAAGTGCATTTAGCTGACTGACTGTAACAAGACACATTAACACTGAACATTATCTAAGGCAGCAGCAAAAAAGGACTGTTGAAAGGATCACAGTACAGTTCTGCAAAAATGCTCAAAGCTGGTAAAACAGAAAGCATGTCAACAATGAGACTGTAAAAAACTGGGAGGCTGTGATGTAAAACAAACATTAACTAACTTTTAACTTTTAAAGACTTAGTACTGTGGCAGGATTGAAGGTTTGTATGCCCCCTTGTGTGATGATCATAAACAATGAGGTCTATTTGGGCAGGTGCACTCATGTTTATACTCCTGTTCACACCCTAAGCTCACAGTATGTTGCTGGAAAGAGGCTAGTAGAGATATGAAGCTCTGAGAAAGAGCTGACTTGCAACTAGCCATCATGCAATGAAAGCTGAGTGGCCATAACACTGTGCATGCGTGGCCATATTCATGGTTAATATAAATATACTATAAATAGACACCTATTGCAATTCTGAATAATCATGGTTTCATCTTAAAAGAACTTGAAGATGTTGGCTTGACTGAGTTAGCGGACCCTTCAGTGAAGTAAGAGACTCTCAGACCTAAGCTGACAAAACAATACTGGGGGCAGGAGGGGAGGAACGTTACCTCCTTAATTTCCTCAAAGAGCTTGATAGCGTGTTCATATTCCGGAGGATCTTCATTCAGTTCCGATTCCAAGTGATCCCAAAATGCCTTGTGTACAATTTGTTTCACTGTGCCTGCAAGGCTGTGGAATAAGTCAATTAGATACAGAAAAGACTCCCAACCAGCTTTCATCCTTGGTAAAAGTGCTTTAGATTAGCCTAATCACTTGTTGGGAAACACACACCACCTCACCATATCTTCTTGTGCCCTCCAACTGTATCTTTCTTGGGCTGCAGATCATCAGCTCCCAAAAGACTGGCAAGTCTTTCTTAATACACCTGTATTTTATAAAGTGGTGCTGGCAATTCACATGTAGGTAAAGAGATTATTACTTTCCCTTATTGACTTTGTATTCATTGTCCTAACCTGGTATGTTATGTACTAAGCTGTCTCAAAAACTATTCCGTCATATAATCAATTATCAGTTAAGGGGCTTGTGCAATTAAAGACCTGTTTGGTTTTTACATAAGTTTTCTCCAAGTAAAGGCCAAGGCCTTTTTTAAGTTAGACATGTCTGTAAACAAGAACATTTTAGCTACCTACATTAGGGAAGTTACTTCTCACTTCCTCTGGTTCTCCAGGTATTTTTGCACCTCTTCTGGGGCTAATGTTAGAGCTATGTTCATGATGAGTTCTATCTTCTTATCACTATGGCATCAATGAGCTACTATATATAACTGAATAGAAGGCCACCATTTCATCTTTTCCACAGGGCTTGGAGCTGCACAGAACAGACCAATATGCATCTTCACTGTGGGCATTCATATTGCATTAGCTTTTAATCTTCCACATGACATTTAAGACAGAGCAATACACTCCAAGACAGTGTATCAACTCGGGCAGACTGCAACACTTGTTCCAAGCAAGACAGCTTTGACAGTGACTCCTGGAGGTGCAGGATAAAAATCTGTAGCCTTCCAAGATGCTTTGGTTTGGAGGTTTTTTTTTTTTATTATTTGGTTGTTTTTTTATTTTGCTGCTCCACTCACTAATTCTCTCTTCCTAACCCCAGTTATGCTTTTTGCAAAATTCAGGTTCTTACCTGTTCCGTGGGAAGCCTTCGTCTTTTATGCAAAAATTTGCATTTACAGCAATTTCATGAGCTAGAGTCAAGTCTGTCAAATTTCTCGCAGCTGCCATCAGTTCATCAAATGTAACAGTCTTGGGAGGGCTTGCTGCTGGAACAAACAAGTTAAATTCAAGCCAAATATCTGTAGTTGATAAGTGCAATTAAAAACATTGAAGTTCAGAAATTTTACTGCTTGCTAATTGGACTCTAGTACTCTAGAAAACACACTCTAGGATTACCAGGTCTTTATATCTTCTTAAAACACTAATTTAGGAAACTCCCAGCTTATCAGGGGTGTGTGTGTGTGTGGGGGTAATACCACACAAGCCTCATAACATTTTGAGGAGCATTTTGTATTTCTGCATCTTAATTAGGGTATCTTTCTTCTTTTAAAACACTATCCTGCATTCCACAGATTTCCTATTGACTGTTCTGTAAAATCTACCAGACCAAAAGCACAGGCAGTAACAGATACCAGATGTCCATTATAATTCTGAGCACATAATGGCTATATTGTGGTTTTATTGCCTGTAGAGAAGGTTCTGAAGTTACTGACTTGAGAACCCCCTACTTATGTTCCACAGTAGATGCATCGTAAGTTACAGTCCCTTTTACAAATAAGTATTAACAACATAACAGAAACTCAACATTGGAAAGCAAGAGTAAATTCCCAAAGTTTCTAAAACCCCAAATTCTGTCATTTAATTTAGCATTTGGAATTAAGTTATTGAAGACTGGTAATAAGGAAACACAAAGAGCCAGCTGCAAATTGCAGCTCCACTAACAAGCTTGTTTTAATGTAGGACTTCACTTACATAGATGCTAAAAACTATACATGGTCTGAGGATGCTTACAGATGTGAACATGAAGCACATCTTCACCAAGGTTTTATTTATCATTACTCAAAATGCCTTCCTTGTGCAAACGTGTGTTTTCTGTTTGATCCTAATATTTATGAAAGAAAAAAATGTGAATTTGAGATTGATTTCATGTGAACTTGATTTACTATTATAAATCTGTAAGTTACAAATTTAATTTTTAAGTGTATGGAGCAAACAGAAAAAAACCACCCTTTACACAAAGCCATATCTAGTTGAGCAGGAGACTGCTACCAATGTCAAGATTAGCTCAAGATTAGGATGTCCATGGTGGCACACTTTTCTTACGCTTTCTGAAGGGAAGGAGCACACAGGGAGACCCCCACGGATACAGCTGCTGGTGGTGTTCCACACACAAGGAGATGCGCTGCTTCACAGCAGAGAGAAAGCCATGCCTTTCTCTTAATACTCTTAAACAGAGACTCAGAATCCCAGGTTCTACCCATGACAGCAAAGAGAAATGAGATAAATTAGGCTTATCCGTCTATGCACAATGCAGGTAAGATTGAAATAGGCTTACATCCTGGGGAACTGGGTTTGCTTGAAGAATCACTGTTAAAGCTCTGTCTTGAATATTCAGAGTCACTAGAAGAAGCTGTGCTTTCAGAGAAGCGTGAAGAATCTGAATCACTGTTCTGGTCATCATTGAGAGGCATTCTGGTTCACTTTAGCTGCTACAGTAAACAAAACCTGGAAAGACAAATACACTTCCCATAAAACCAGCAATTACTTTCTTGTTTGTTTCTCAAAAGTCAGATACTGATCACTATATTGTGAGTGAAGAATAAGTAGTTGCCTTTCTTAAAAGGGTGTTACAGAAAGGATCTGGCTTGACACACAGAATCATAGTTATTAACAAACTACACCTGTTCTGCAAGACAGTTTTGTACCTTCTGCTGTTTCATATCTTAACGGTTATCTTAGAGACAAGTCTGTAAATTGGTTATACTTATTAAGAGACTACCCATAGTAACCCCTAAAGTTGCTTATTGTCAGAATTTTGGAAGTTCTCAACATCCGTAGAGGCATCTCACAACGTTACCATCCCCCACCTGACTTCACCAAGTGCTGTTTAGCAATTAGCTTCCTTCCACAAACAGACTGGACAGACTGTAACAACTCTGAACAAACACAGAAGTTTCTGGGGGAGAACAGTCAAATAATTCAGAACAGTACATTTCTGACAGTGTAACTAGAAGTCTGTCCTGCTGTTTCAGGTGGGTCTTGGCTCAGGATCAGATCAACAATGGCATAGACCCCCAAAATACTCCTCCTAGGGGTGAGGGTGGATGGGTTTTCTGTTTTGAGTCAAATGGTGGCTCTGAGCCTCTAACATTACATTCAGCATACATGACAAGTAACACTGAGAAGTGTCATGCTTTGTGCTTCTGTCTACATAAACTGCCTCCCAGGCAGATACTCTGCCTCTGCAGAGAATTTGGACAGCTGCATACTGCAATAGAGATGATTAACAGTTGTATGACAGGAAGTAAAAAATATGTTCATAATCATATTGAAAAACTGGAAGTCAGCCATAATTACTACCAAAGGAATTTGGCCCAGATACCAAAAGTAGCTGTCCATCTTTGCTTATGGCCATGAAGCATCCTGTAGTAGACTTTATTGTGACAGGACAAGGAGTAATGGTTTTAAACTGAAGCAGGGTAGGTTTAGACTGGATATAAGGAAGAAATTCTTTACAATGAGGGTAGTCAAACACTGGAACGGGTTGCCCAGAGAGGTGGTGGAGGCCCCATCCCTGGAAACATTCAAGACCAGGTTGGACGGGGCTCTGAGCAACCTGATCTGGTTAATGGCGTCCCAGCTCACTGCAGAGGGGTTGGACTAGATGACCTCTAGGGGTCCCTTCCAACCCAAAACATTCTATGATTCTAAGAGACATAGCCAATAATGCTTTCTGTCAGCAAATTTAAGTAAGATTACTTCATTTACTATTAAATTGCATCAACTTGAGCAGGCAAAGTATACCACACTTTGCAACTGTTAAACTTGGGAAAAGCCACTTTTGGCAGGAAAAGGATGATCTTTGTGTGTAGCTATGTGAATCAACGTATTGTTGGGTCAAGAGGTAGGCAAAAGGGAGTAAGAATGAAGATTTCTTTACACTGGCACCTAGTTACAGCTTAGTGTTTGATTTTTTGGGTACCAGCTCATCCTGAATAGGCCTTTATAACTTGATGAGGTATTAACTGATGAGTACTCCCCTGTTAATTGAGATGATTAACATTTGTTAAGTACATGTTTACTACTCCTCCTCTCCCAAGAGGATACATTTGAGTGCCTTATTTATGTAATGTTTTATGCTATTTTTTGTGAAATGAACTAATCACATCAGCAACAACACAGCTGAAAGTTCATTACCTTACTGGAGAAGACAGTGAGAGAGACTTCTGATTAGGATATAGAGGTCATGGGTTCAAGACTTACAGCATTAGTGGTGATCCTTAACATCGTAACTCTTGTTAGAAATTACAAAATTCTGTTCTAATAAGCAACTGAAACCAGCAGATATTTAGAATAGTATCGCCTAAACAAGACTGAGAGTTGCGAGAGAACCTAGAAAACCAAAGGCTGAGATATTTTTGACTTGGAAACTGTATTTGTCTAAGTTACAATTGGAAATAAGTCCCTAGTTAATGTTACACAAGAGACTAAAACTGCTTCTTCAGTTAAGATCTGTGTTACAGATCTTGAAGTTAGTGCTGACTAGAAACTAGTTGTGATGAGTAACCTACCTATAGAACATGCTCCAGGTTCTTGATGTGGAACTACTCACTTAAAATACAGTAACCCTACAGAGCCTGCAAAGCTTACATTACTCTCCCACCATTGTTTCTGGACCAGCATTAGAACACTATTTCCAGGCTTTAATCATGTATAAACCCCCTTTATTTATATATAAATAACTAACCTCCAAAAGGTTAATGCTGCATGTGGTCCATCAAAAGACTTGGTTGATGTTGTTAGCAGTGTACTGGCCCAAAAGGTCTTGTAAATCACTTGCCTAGTACAAGCACTTCAAGATGTGTCTTCTGCTTCAGTGTAGAACTGAAAGATGTTAAGAACGTGGAAGAAATTAAGTGAGCATTAAAAAACAAAAATCCTCACAGAATTCATACATCATCATTTCAAGTACTTCCTCTTAACTGTCAGTATGATAATTCTAATAAATATTCAAATTTGTAAACAGTCAAATATTCAGATTTGCAAGGTGGTCCTGACAGCAAGTACTAAACCAACCATGGAAGCAATTCAGCATTGCCATTTTCTACCCCAGTCTTGACTCCAGTAAGACCAAATCAGCAAGGCAGAAATTAAAATTTTGTATACATTAAGTCTTTGCATACTAGTCCCAGCAAAGGAGCTTTTGGCAACAAATACTTGCATTTCAGGGAGACCCGTGACATATTTTGATGTACGAAGACCATACCTGTTCCTACAATACACACACACAAACAGCAGAGCTGCCAGTAGAATGCTTCAGAAGACTTAATTTAAATTAAGAAGCTTCATCAATGCAACAGGAGATGACACACTGAAAACACACTGCAATCTTTGCCACAGTAAATATATTGCCTAGTAGGATGCCTCACATGGAATGGTGAGGAAGAATGGGTGTATTCTGCAGATTCAGAACATTATTGCTAAATTCTAAGTTTAAAAGATAAACAAGGCAGCAAGCACATCAAAGCAAACATACATGAATACACAAGCAGAATCTGGATAGGCCATCTACAGCTTTTAAATATGATGCCCGACAGCTAAAAAGCTTAGAGAAAAGTACATTCATTGAGCATATCAAAGGGAAGTACAAACCAAAAAAAAGGCTTTTCTAATTAGTTACAACAACAGACAACCAAGTTACTTAGTCCTTTCTTTACAGCATACACTGGAAGAGCTGCTTTTCCTTCTGCGTTTGTAGACAGCATAGCACTTCCCATAAATTACTAAGTGCTAAGTTCACATGTAATTTTAAGCTTAGATTAATATAATTCCCAAGTAAAAATATTTCAGAAAGCCCTTTAGCCTTCCAAGATCTCTTTGTAACTCACCATCTTGAATAAACAATACCATCTTGTTATTTTTTGAGTAGTTCATTAAGTATTACATATTAGGCTGTTGTTTTAATACACAGCTTAATATCCTACCTATTCTGTTAAAGGGTAAGCCTGTGGTTACAGCCTGCTTTACTCTTCCTGCATTAAAAACAACTGTTTACTTTTTTATTAGGTTGGTTACCTTCACAGTAGGCTTCATTACACTGTTTGCTTTCTCTCAATCAGTACTATTTTGCAGGGTTTTTTTAAGGATAAACTCTAATTGGAAGACTAAGCTAGAAATATCTTTTAAATGTACAAACCCCAAGATTCCAGTTAATTTAACAAGGAAGAACTAAATTATCATGGTACCTGCTGCTATTTAGACAGTTTGGGATGGTTCTTTTCAGTAAGGATGCAATGAATACAACACTGTAGAAGCGTAACAGCGTCTTGCTCTTATTCAGTCACCACATCACCCAACCTGATAGTTTGCTCCGAACGGATCAAGATTGCAAGATCAGATTAGTTTTAGAGAACACAAACACGCTTTTTATTCCTGAAGGCTTCCTTTAGAAGTGTATTTTTATAAAGCTCCTGGCCAAAAAAAAAAAAAAGACAGTTTGGAAGGTTTGGGATTTTTTTTTTCCTTCAGATACAGTCTTCAAGGAAAGTTTTTCCACAGCCCTGCTTTGTTCGAATACGTCCCTCCATCAATGCACTCTTTTGAAGTGCTCTGTCCAGTTTTACCACTATAAATGCCTTAGCTTTGTTTATTCTCCTGGGCTTACAGCCTTACTATCTCCAAGCTGGCACCGAATCTCGTTCGGGCTCGAGTTTCCCTTCCACTGGCTCCACCTTTGCCAGCACTCCCGGCACAGCAGCAGAAGAGAGCCTCTGAGAAGAGTTACGGAACCGCCTCACTTCTGACAGCTTATCGCCGACATTTCTCTCTCCTCTAGCCTTCTCGTTCGGCAGCTCTTCCCTTTACCCACAGGCTTCCCCAGCTGAAGGCTTAAGAACACGTCAGTAAGCGCCAGGCGAGCACGCGTCCCCCC